CATTCTGTCAGTCTCCATGCTCCTTTTTGTCTGACACAAAGGTTGCTTCCCACTTCTCAACAGTACCCCTTTCCCCCAGCAGTCACAGATGCCAGATCCTTAGAGAATTTCAACACACCTTTCATTTGTCTCTCACCAAAGTCAACCCCATCTGGCTCCCTGCTGGTGCCTCCCCTGATCTCCTAAATGGCCATTCTAGATGGCTCTACTGGAAACAGTGTGCTTAGTTGTCTGAAGGATTCCAAAGCCAGATAAGCCAGTAACAAAAATGCCCAGCAGCAAAGGCAACAGCATCCTCTATAAATTTAAAATGAGACAGTTCTGTGTTTTCCTTCCTAATATGTGCTGACTTATAAAGGAACTTCAGATCTAGACATGAATGAATGGTGGAACACATTTGGCCAAAACATCTCACATCTCAGAACCTTACAGTTCTCTGGATAAAGTAAAGACAAAACATTACTCCATGGGATCTTGTCCTCACAGAGCATGGCATGCTGACATGGTCAATGAATGCTCATTTTCTTCTGGTTTAAATTAAAACTATGTTGCTATTAGGAGAAGATGACTCTTTAGGCCATATGTCCCAAACTCTGCTGTTTGCTTGGGATATGTTGATACACAAATCACTAGGAAACGGACTTGGAACTGCAGACAGCCTCTGATTGATGGCATAAAAACCTAATTTATCCTAACTCAATTCTGTTAGGAAAAGGAATGTCGGGTAACCAAACTGCCATTGCACTATACAAAGCATCAGAAGAGGGACAAGATTTCGATGCATGAGAGAGGATGTGCCTTTGCTCTTGGAGCCAACACTCATTTAAGGCCATTGCTCTCCACTGACTTGAATTAGGAAGTGTGATTTCCAACACAGCTTATACAGACTCGGGTGTTAGAGGAGGGAACCTTCCAGAAGTTAGAGATCTGTAATTTACAGATAAGAAAACTTAACATATCTTGAACATTTATTAGAAGACATTATCTTGACATATGATCATGTATGTCCTCAGGTCAGCATAGTGCCATCCCAGGCTGCATTTCCTCAAGAAATGTATGAATTAATGAGCAATGAATTCAGATATCTGCCCAAGGTTACAAGGTAGTAGCTATAGAAACTAAACTATAGTCCCTATAAGTTGATTTCCTGTAAATACTCCTAAATGAGACCATAACATGCCTGAAAATGCTTAGAAAAACTACAACAGCTATCTTAGACCAACCTGAAAATGGCTGATTTAAGCCCATGCACAGAATACTCATGTAGCAGTCTATGACCAGCACATAAAGGACACTTCCTGCTAATGACTTGTATAAACTCTTGCAAAATTCCATTCCTCAGAGGTGTTCTCTTTCAGAACTAAGGTGTATATAGAGGCATGAACCAGAATTATATCAAACACCAAGTGCAGTACTAAATGGTATGCAGCGGGTGAACCAGTTAAGATGTGTTCACTTACTCTTGAGGGACAAGAAAAAAAATTCATTACTTCTACACACTGTGGCCAGTGATGACCAGAGAATAGCAAGAGTCTAGAATCCACGTCTAACTAGACTTATTTACCAATCATGAAAACTGATTAAAAGGCCTTTCAGACACTGTGCAAGACTCCTCCATTCAGGTTATAATCTCAAGAATGAAACTCAAAAAATGATTTGGGTGTCTGCCTTCTCAATTCTTCCAAGGAGGAGTACATGGCTTTGACTCTCCTGACTTCTCAGGAGAGAAAGTGAACCTCTTATCCCATGGAGGTTATGGTTCTTGATGATTTAACTTTCTCACTAAGTCCCCACTGAGAAGCATCCACAGTCACCTGGTATACCATGAAAACATCACCATCGTACCAACATACATTCCTCTAAGAGCTCTTGGCGATAAAATGGCTGTGCGGCCTCCAAATCCTGTCAGAAGGAGAAGTTCATTTGTATTCCTGTTATTTAAAAAGCAGTATTTGTTCTATTTGGAAAACACACCAGAAAGATCAGGAAATATTTGTATATATTCAGACTGTAACTCAAATAGAAAGAGACTGCGGGCATGTTTGTAATGAAGATTTTGTAGGCAAGTTAGATCAAAATATGTTTCTCTGAAGTACTTGGAAATTATTTCCAAACTTTCAGTTAATCAACAAATAGTTCCACGCCATCACCTTCTTAGCTGCCTGGGGGATGTGAAATTAAAACATACATTGCATATTTTGCCAACAGATGGGTGGTTTTCTTCCTCTCCTTACATTGATTTGAATCAAAAGTGAGTCATTATCCCATATTATGTTTTGATTGCTGATTTACAACTGGAAGTATATAGTTGGTAAGATAGAGCAGAGCTAGATAAGGAATCGATATTTCTAGAAAGCTTGGTAGGAGCTGGGCATTGTGCCTGGTACTTTGCACGTGTAATCTAAACCAGTCCCCCTGAGGTCAGCAGTGTTATTATTTTCTTTTTACAAATTAAGAGGTTCAGGTTTCAACAGCCATACACAGAACTGCAGTTCTTTCCTTGATTTATGTTATTGGGGATGCTCCAGGACTCTGTAGAGCTTCCTCCAAAGAAGAGAGAAATACTGGGGAATTTTACTCATTTTTTTTTTCAGATTTATATCCTCTATTGTTCAGCAGACAACCTCTCCACCGAAATATGGCAACCTATAACTTGCTGCACATAAGATCAAAAGAAAGGGGACTTGGATAATGAAGAAATCAAAATCCGCAGATGTATAGAATTCTCTAAGTACTGCTGGGCCATATTTCACAAGAGAGGGTTGTCACACGTCCAAAGGCTGAAGCGCCAGTGGACTCAGGATTCAATAATGGAAGAAAGAGATGTGATGGTCATAGGAAGACAGTGTGATTGCCTCTTGTTTTGTGATGTGTTACTCAGCTGAGTTCACAGTGATCTTAATTCCTTTCCCCTGCCCTGCTTGAAATTTTTACTTTCACTGATAGTCTTTTAGTAGATTCAGACATGAAAGTGAGGGGAGGGAGGGAGATAGGTAACACAAATGACTATCACACATTGCTTAACCTTCAAAACTCCAGTTTCCCTTACCTCTTATAGAGCTGCTGTGCCGTCTGTACCCCTTGGCATTCAGTCCTCAGGACCTGCCACTGAAAATCAGCACTGTAACTAAAGCATTTCCCTTTGCCAAATGTGCAGTACAGAGGCACTTTCAGAACAGGGGAAAGTCTTCCTGCTAAGCCTTCTAGCAAATCATTAATATTTATTAGCGTGCACTCCCCTGTAGGATGAATGTTTTATGATCAAATATGAGTGGCAACAAATGGAAATTTCAACCACAAGCTACCCACTCTTCCAGTGCTACAGATTGCAGGACAGGCTTCCCAATGCAGGACTCGCCCTTCTAGAAGAATCCCACTTCACTGTTCTAGACAAGACAGCAATTGATCACTGCCCATGAGGTTACTCAAGGCAATAATCAAGATTATCAACTTTCAAAATCAATAAGGAGCAATTAAAATGAAACTGGGCATTGGCATCATATTAATGCTATATTTAAAAACTAGAAAACATATAACAGGACGGAAGACCATTTCAAAATCTCAGAATCATGTACACATTTTAAATTTAAATCAGATCAGTTACCTAACAATTCTGCAGAGATCCATTGCCTTCCCAGGTTTGAACAAAAGCATGCCTGTCTCAGGTTTACCTATTCGTTCAGTTTATTGAGTACATTTCATCTTCTACGCTCATGGCACTGTAGGTTTTTGAATCAGGATCAAGGTCTAAAAAATGACTTACATGAGCTCTTTGCTATTGAAAACTGCCCTCACTAAATCACTCTGTAATGCCTTTAACACATGACTCAATCTTACTCCATCCAGCATTGCATGCTGAGTTATTACATGCTGGAAGAAGCAAGTGCATCTCATCTGTATAATTAATGGGTGCACTGTACAAAGGCACAAAAATAAAGCCCGGTAGCATCTGTTTCTGTCCTGCCAATTTCAGTGATTTTGTGCAGAAGTCACCATGCTGAGACTGTGCAACAGTGAGTCTATTGAACGGCCTCTTTTCTTTCTGTCCCATTGAAGCTCTAACCTAGATAGTTTAGCAATCATTTACCAATACAATGTATGTCTGATTTGCTCTAAGCAGCATGGGGGAAAAAATCAGAAGCTCAGAGTTTTGAATCAGGCCTGGATGCAAATTCTGATTATTTGTCTAAATTTTTTGGATAACTCGTTTATCTATTTCTTTACTTCCTCATCTACAAAATAAACATAATGTGTCAGGTAGGATTGTGACATGGAATGCAGATCCTATATAAAAAGCAACAGCTTGAGATAGATAGGGCTTTTGATAGCAAAGACAGTTGAAATTACTCTATTTTACAGAGTGCAATTCATTATGAAATTAATAAAAATAGGAAAGAGAGAACAGAGATGAATTTTTAGGCCTGATTCATTTTCATCTCATGAGATGGTTATTTTATATCAAGCTGTTTTGTACTTAAGGGGTGTTATTAAGGATATTGTTGATTTTGAATAACAGTTTCTGGTTGATAAGTAAGATTGGACAACAACAAAAACAAACAAGCAAACAGAATATCAACGGAAAACTGCCCCTTTCCCAACTTCTGAAACCAACCCCCGTTCTCCAGACTAACAACTTCTACAGTACCTATTAAACCATGGACATGACAGAGAAGCGAAGAAAGAAATGTTAAATTTAAAAATTATGTTTGCCTCAGTTACAAGATATCAATTTTGAATGAAACAGTCATCAGTGCGTAACTCTATAATACAATGAAGGCACAAACTGTAGATCTGGTAAGAAAGACTTCTTTAAGAATAGTCTTCCTTCGAATGGAATTTTACCATTAGTCTTTCTCCTGCTCAAAGTAGCTCCAGAAAGAGGGTGTCAGCGGCACCTAACTCTACCAGAGAACCACTGTGCTTTCTTTCCATCTCTCTCATCCTCTGTCTCACATCTTGTGTTCTCCTCTCTGACTTTGGCTTCATTTTGCTGCCTGTAGGTAGTCCGGCCATACCAGACCATGTCCAACCCCATGAGCAAGCTCACCGTTCTCAATAGCATGCATTCCCACTTCATCCTGGCTGACAATGGGACCACGGGAAAATATGGAGCAGAGGTGAAACTTCGCAGACAACTGGAAAAGCACATTTCGCTCCAGAAGATAAACACAAGTAAGCAAGCCACTCTTTCCACTACCGTGCCTCCCAGAAAATATGCTGTTATTTAGCAGCCTGTGCATCGATGATAGGGAAATTCAAGGAAGTTGTAATGCACCAGCCACTGTTCTCCCTGAGCCAGTGTATTGAGTGAAGGAAGTTATCTAGGGGAGCATGAGTAGAAGCATGAGGACATTAACAGAATTAATGGGCTCAAGCTCAGCTTTTTACACATCCAAAAGTCAGTCCCATCTGGGATTTAGGAATGCATATAAGCTTTCTCTCAAACTTTTCCTACATCCTTTTCACAGTACCCCTGAGAAGAAAGGCACCCCAGAGAAATAGCTGCTATTTATTAAGCCATTTTTTAATGACTAAAAAAGGCAAAACAAATCAGGCTTTGATCTTTGCACAGAGGAGTCTCAAGGGGGTTGGATGGTTTTCTAAACTAAAACATCCTGGGCAGACATCTTGCTCAAACTCTACCACTGTTTCTATACTTATATGTGTATGCATTCACTGTCTCTAGCTACGCATGCACTTTGATGTATGTGGGTACTTGTGTATGGCACGTGCTATACATCTGATGGCTATAATCATTTGTCCTAGGGACTTGTGAGCTCTGTACTGTCATATGAACGTTTGGCTGTAAAAAGAATGGATGCTCCCCTGATCATCTGCTAAGGATCCTCTCAGAATAAAATTCTTTTTATTTTCACAAAGTGGCATGTGAGGCTTCAGTGACTGGAAAGTTCAGACTGTGTAATTGTCTATATCATGGAAACTTGGATTTAGTTGATTACAATTCCTAAGTTTGTCATTCCAAGAAACATTAGATTCTCTTTGGCTACTTTTCAAAAGCTCAGTGCCATTGTGTGATTCAACTGGCCCAGATCTCACCTGGATTCTCTGCCTTTGCCCCAGAAGGATTTTGCTTCATACAGCCACCATCCTTACAGAGCTGGGATGTCGGGCCCTGCTGGCCTCCATTTCCCTTCCTAGGCCCTCCTCTCTGCTGTCCTTCCTGCTGCTAACTTAGCCAAACTTCAGACTTTCATCCTATTCAGAGTGAAATCTCGAATAATAAATTTGTTTCATCTAAAATAAAAATTATGTTAGAAAACTCCTTTCTTAAATCTTTGCAGCTATAGCCCAAGGGGAGCCTTTAGGGGGAAGAGCACAGTAAAAACACCAAAAAAAAAAAAAACCCACCTTAACTGATTCAGAGGCTGGCAGAGACAAAGCACTGTCATCAGCCAGGTGGTAAGCGTTGCTGAAAATACTAGTACTTCCCTTCACCTCAGAATTTGAAAGAATGAATGGGGAGATGCTATATAATTAGTACTATTTTAAGTCATTTTAGGTTATAGTGGTACTTTTTTTTCTCTGCTATTGGGTTAGATATGAAAGTTTAATGAGAAATGAGCTAGAAACTGAAATACAGGAGAGCAAGGACACAAGAAATCATTCAAGGTCAGATTGAGTAGAGGACAATGCGAAACACTCTCTAGACCAGCAAAGCCCATCCCTGTACAGGCCCCAGTGGCTCCTGAACCAGCCATGCAATCATGTATAAAGCAGATGTGTGGTTAGATAAGGTAGATACCCAGCTGAGGGTATGCAATCTGGAGTTAGACCAGCCAGGGCTATTAGTTGAGCCTTAAGCTTGACAGCTGCCCAGGCGATAGGGTGGCTTTTGTCCATTCCAGAGAGGACATCTTTTGGTATATAATTTGTGTCCCTGGAAGAATGCCTTTTAAAGTGCTGAATGTACAACTTCCAGGAAAAGGAGGGACTGAGCAAGGAGCAGGCAGGGAGGATCCTGAACCATCACCTCATGCCAATGAGCAACAGAGCCCAGATTCCTGTGGGTGAAGGGTGACCATGGGGGATGGTTAGGGACGGAAGAGGAGAACAACAAGAGGCAGTCTTTAGAGGGATAACTTATCAGGGACTTTTCATATTTTATTTGTGGAAACTCTGGACTGCTGCTTTACAATCAAAGAAGGCAGCAGTTTGGGTTCATATTCATAAGTGGGAACCCACACCAAGGATGTGCATATAGAGGAGGAGCATGCACCCAATTGCTGAAGGACTTACCTCATTGATGGATTTTGAGGCATCATAGAAACCCACAGCCGCCCACTCTCCTAGTATGAGCAGTAGCAAGAAGTGGATTACAGAAGCCCAGTAGACCCCAAAAGTCACAGGAAGCTAAGAAGAGATATATCCGTGAGCTGCAGTAAATGTCATGAGTTAGAACCTACCATTCTGGCATTAAACTCATTGACATTTACCTGGCATTGTCCCTGGACCCCCTTGGTCTATAAAAACCTGAGATAAGAAGTCACTATGTGAGTGAGTGATTCCTAAGTTAGAAAGTAGACTTCACTTTTTACTGTGTTCAGACCCAAAGGGACAAGAAAATAGCAGGTTTCTCCGGTGTGAGAAGTGACCTAGGCCTCCTGAGAGGGTTCCATTCACTTAGCAGCATGTAAAATTGCCCATGACAACCACAGAAGCCCCAAGACCGGAACTGGGGAGGGGCACAAGGCAGACCTGGTCATAACACACATCAGCCTATGAATATCAGCATTTGTTACCACCCCGCTCCGTGTTTGAAACAACCATTCTATCTTCTTATCTGAGCATCCTTTTTGCTTTGTATCATAATTAGCAATTAGTGATTCATCCTCTTAATAATTAAGTTTTATTCTACAAGTTCAAAAAAATCCACTTATGTTTGCATTTCAAAATGAAAATTACAAAGAACTCAATTGCCTGAAAATTAGACATTCTGTGGCAGCAATCCCGCCCACCACTCCTATACCCATGGTGGTTCTAGGACTGGCAGGGCACACTCAACACTCTCCTACTGGAATACCAAGCCTCATCAATCAGAGAGAGGTTTCAAAGCAGTAACCTATCCACAAGCCTGTTTACCTACACAAATGGCATCAACTTCTGGAGAACACATTTGTTAAACATAAAGTATATCCTGTTCAGGAGACCCGTAAGCCTTTACTCATTAGCATGCCAATTATTAGTAACAAAAGCACTGAACGTCTTTACATTTAACATGCACTCTGACATCCATTATCCCATCCACATCCCTCTCTACCAGTCAGTAGAAAAGCATTGTCAGGGATTATTGAGGGCTCTGTTTATAAAAGTGAATTCTTTTAGACATGAGAAGTTGCCTGCTTTAGAATACTCAATCATCTGCAATTTTTTAAACCGCAAATTTAACCTATTAGGGACAATGCCAATTATTCTTTTAGTAAATAAATATCTACTGAACTCTTAGTAAACACCTACTGTTAAGATCTGGAAAAGCAGAAATAATTCATTGAGCTTAAGTCAAAGACAAAGAGGGTAAAAGGAAAATCATTAAATATGTGTTATCTGATAGTAATCAGTGCTACTGAAAAAAAAATAAGCTGAGGAAGGTGTCCGTGGGCATGCACATGTACAAGTATGGAGGGTCATTTATATTAGTCAGGTGTGGCCTGTAGAAGGAATGACATTGGAGCAGGGGCTTGAATGAAGAGAGGGACAGCTGTGGAAGGAGCATTCTGGGTAGCATGCAGAAACAGAACCTCATGGCCTCCCATGAAGACATGAAAAGCTTAGTGAAAGCTCACATTTAACTACACAGAATTTAGATCTAAGAACTTAAAAGATGATTATCACTATGCTTGAAGACAGCACTCCACTGGCACGTAGAGATTTGATTGGGGTGATGGACAAGATTAAAAGCCAGAGATGCATTTAGGAGGATCTCACAGTAATGTAGGACAGACACAGTGTTTTTTTGAGTACATGGAGGAAAGCCTGGTCAGATTCAGGATGTAAAACATAGATGGGCTGCTCTAGAAAGGAGTATCTAAGTGTCCTCATGGTATGATTCAGAATAAAGTTCCAAACATATGCAAACTTAGAGCATGTTTTGATGGAATAGGCATCACTCTGACTGTCAATAACACGTACTACATATTACCTGCATTTACCAACTCAAAGCCATTCTTGTTTCCTTAGTACACAGCTCACCTGTTGGATCCTCTGGACAATGGGGAAGGAAGTCCAGACAGCACACAATCCCAGCCAGAAATATCTCAATACCAAAATACTTCTATTTTACATTGGCCATTCATGGGCTAGAACTGAGTAGTAGCATAATGGTAAATAGTAATCTAGAAATACTTAAAAATCCACTTCCTTCATGAAAAAAAATAAAGATTAAGAATGAAAATATCAGGGCACCAAAATAGAGAGGGGAAGAACTCATTCTGGTCTGCTGTAGCACAGTGAGGCAATTCTTGGTTAACGCTTCTTACCACTTGTCTTGAAATGACTGGAAGAGGCATTTGAAAGCCCTACCACAGAAAAATGACTAATGTCAGAAGACATGGAAATCCTTATTACTCCACTTTGATTACTACATTGAATACCTGTGTTGGCTGACAGCCATGTACTCCACAAAGACAAATACTCTTAGTAAAACTACATTAGTTCCTTGTCCATTGCTTGAACTATTTGACCACAACTACATCCATAGATATGCTCAAGATACATTGCATACATGTATAAAATTTTCAAAGAATAAATAGTACTTAAAGTATATTATTTTGCTGTTAAAATTGTATCTTGAAAGTTGGGCAGCCCTTTCTTCTGATGCCAAATTCTACCCTCAGCTTACAAAAAAAAAAAAAAAAAAATGACATTGCAGTTCTCAGTAACAAAGGTTAGAAAATTCCCAGAAGCTGTAACTTTCTTTTAAGAGTCTGAAAGAAGGAATACTACTTTGGGGAGAACAGGACGTCTTTGCCGATTGCAAGTGTTATGAACGGCAATGGTGGGTAGATACGGGAGAGCAGATTATCATAGTCCTAGAACTTTAGGATTTTAGGCAATTTGCCTAAAGTGATGTTTGTGAATCTGTGAGCCCAGGATGATAGTTCACACAGTTGTGCTTAAATGGCTGAACACATAAAAGAACTGTACCATGCGGCAGT